CCTGGGAGCTTTAGCTTGAGCTTTAGCTATAGCTTCAACCCAGCCGTCCCACGTGCCTCGGCCTCGGCGGAAAGAGCGACAGCTCGGCGAGGTCATTCGCTTTTCCTGGATGCCTGCGCCCGCGCAGCGGGCGAAGTGCCTGGGCGGTCGCATACCGCGCAGCTTGCCGTCTCTGCGAGAGACGGCACCACTATACACCAATGGAAGAGACCGCTGGGCCCCGCGCGCACAGGAGGCACGAGCACGAAGCGGCAATGCAGCAAATTACGTGGCAGACGTAAGTACAAGAAGGAGAGGGAGGAAGAAGGGGGGAGAGGGGCGAGAAAAAGGCTGCAGAGGCACTCTCGTGAGGGTAATAGGGTGCAGGCACAGTCAACAACCCAACCGTCCCACGTGCCTCGGCCTCGGCGGAAAGAGCGACAGCTCGGCGAGGTCATTCGCTTTTCCTGGATGCCGGCGCCCGCGCAGCGGGCGAAGTGCCTGGGCGGTCGCATACCGCGCAGCTTGCCGTCTCTGCGAGAGACGGCTCCACTATACACCAGCACTCGCAGGCCTGCGCTTGAGTCCGCCTCTGCTGGGCGGGACTCTAAGCCCCTCGCGGAGCACGCTCAAGAGCCTCCGGCTGAAGGTCGCCTTCAGGGCACCAGCGCGGTCCAGGAGGTCGTCGCTCACGGCGTTCAGCGACCAAACCAAGGTCGCTGGCTTCGTGTAGATGCGGCACGACTCCAGGGAGGCCCAGCGCCCCCGTGCTTGCACGTCCTCTATCTTCACTTTGTGGACCACGGCGTCGTGAGACGGGCCAGCATGTCGTAGCCCGCGAGGGACCACACGGAAACCGAGCGCGGCCGAAGCGGCACGATACTCCTTCTCAAGGTCGTGCAGCTTGAGCATCCTGAACACCCGAACGATCTGGAGGTCGGCCACGAGGAGCTCTAGCACCTCGCAGACCCACTGCCTGTCGTGGGCGCCCACGAGCACGCTGGCATCGAAGCGGCGGTTCTTCGCCGGCTTGGCGTCGATCCCCGCTGGCGCCACGGTGATGGCCCAGCCTTGCGCGGCCGCGCCACGGCGCGGTCGCCCCACGGCGCCAGCGGTGAGCTCGAGGCCCTCGGACGGCCGCAGGTAGCAATCAAAGCTGATGGCCCCGCGGGCGGCGATGAGGGCCATGCGCAAGCAATCTTCGCCCACCGCCCGGTCGAGGAAGTGGTTGAGCACGAGCAGCACCAGCTCGACCGCAGGCGGGTCACGGCAGTGCTCTGGTGACGACCTAGCGAAGGCCAGGATGGACAGCCGCGTCTTGGGCAGCAGGTCGGGGGAGCGCCGAGGCCAGTCGTTGACGAAGGCGACCCCGTGGAACGCGCACCTCGCCGCGGTGACCGTGTCGCCGGCGCGGTAGAGGTCCTCCACGTAGTCCACCATGATGCGGTCCCAGGCGTCGCAGTCGTCCTTCTTGGGCAGCCGCCCGACCGCGTGCGCCACGGCGGCGTAGCACTGCCCGTACCGCCTGCGGGTCGCGGCCGCCACCACGAGCCTGCGGAGGAACCCTGGCTCGGTGAGGTCATGACGCTGGGCGCGCTGCCCACGGCGCCGCTGACGGCCGCTAGCGCCGGTGCTGCTCAAGGATGCCGAGCTCGGCGCCAAGGTCGAGCCCGTCCCAGTGCTGGCCCGCCTCCTCCCACTCGAGCCGCGCGTGTCTCGGGGCCGTCGGGGGCGCCAGGCACCGTCGGCCGTCGGCCGAGCCTGCAGCCCTGAGGAGCGCGTCCTCCCAGCGGGCCTCCAGGCAGGGGCGGCCGGGGCAGCGCCGCGCCCGCGTCGGGGCGGCATCCCGCAGCACTCCTGCAACGGCCCTGCAAAGGTCTGGAGGGTACGCAGCAGCCAGCGACGTCCGCCACCGCCAACCCCAGGAAGGATGATGCACTTTCCCCTGGAGCACGACGTGCTGACGGCGGCCTGGGCACCGCCGCGCCACGGAGCCGAAGTGCTCGATGTTCGAGGCGACCCCGGTCGGCTTCTTCCACGCGGCCTTGTAGGCGCACTGGTCGACCACGTGGAGCTCGCACTTGAGCCGGCGGAGCTGACGCACGAGCGGTCGCCACTGCCAGAGCCTCGACGCCCGCGGGTTCTCCAAGACCACGCGCACGCCATGCCGAGCGCAAGCGTCCAGGACGCGCACGGTGAAGCGCGCGCAGGCCAGCCCGGCGCGGCCAACGGCTCCCTCGCGCCGAGCGTGCCTAGCCGCGCTCCAGCGCGTGCAGGGCGTGCCCAGGGCGACGGCCCAGACCAGCCCCGCCTCGATCCAGCCGACGATGACGTCCGCGATCTCACGGCGGCTGACGTCGAAGTGCGACCCCAACTCGAGGTCGACGGGCACGGCGACGGCCAGGCCGAGCGCGGCGACGCAGGCGGTGAGCCGCATGCACAAGGGGAAGAGCTCCAGGAAGTACTGCTGCTGCCGAGGCGGCCGGCGGTCGCTGGGCTCCCGCGGCGGTCTGTCTCGCAGACGGCCTGGCGGCTCCCGCTCGAGCGGATCTGGTCCGCGGGCGGGGGTGCCAAGGGCCTCGGCGCTGAGGGCAGGCTGGCCTGGCGCCCCGCAGAGCGCTGCCCTCGGCCGCCCGGCGTCCAGCTGGCGAGCCGCCGCGCCGCGCCGGACTTCGCCTGGCCGGAGGTGGGGCAGCCTGCTGCCGTAGTCGCTGGGGTTGCGGTGCGTCTCGATGTGGCGCCGCGCCCAGCGCACGTTGGCGGCCACCTCCCAGGCCCCCGCGCGTCAGACCAGCGCCGGGAGGTCCCGCGTGCGCGACCTACCTCGCCCAGTGGCCAGGACCTCGGGCATGTTGTCACCGAGAGACAGGACGACGGACGAATGGTGGTCCGGGTCGCTACAATACTCCTCGAGCCCCATGATCGCGGCCCGGGCCTCAAGGTTGTGCATCTTGTCCGGCTTCCTCCACTTGCCGATGACCACGGCTTCCCACCGCCGCGGGTCGCCCCAAGAGGCGCTGAGGGCCGGGACCCGCCCGACGACCTCCACCAGCGGCTGGCGCTCGGGCACGTACCGCGTCCTCGCGTCGGCGACGTCCCGCAGCAGGTAGTCGCGCGCGAAGTCGGTGAAGGCGCCCTCCAGCACCGCCTCGGGGCCGCCCGCCAGGGCGCCCAGGAGCTCTCGCCGGCGGTCGAGCCCGAGCGACTCCGGCTCAGGCTCCCGAAAGCGCCATCGCTCATGAAACTGCGCGGCCCCCCAGGCCTCGCGCGCGGTGACGACGGCGCGGTGGGCGGCGAAGCCATGCTCAGAGGCATCGGAGCAGTACGCCACACCAGCGATGCTCCGCCCGAGCTCCACGACGGCGAGCGGCAGCAGCCCCTGGATGATGCGGAGCTCCTCCAGCGTCGCGGTGTCGAGCCTCCTCGCGGGCCCCGCCCCGTCGCCGATGAAGCGGTAGACGAAGCATAGGCTGGAGAGCAGCTCCCGCCGCGCCGAGAAGTGGTCGACGAGGTGCCCCACCACGCGGCGCATCTGCGACGGCGCCAGCGCCGGCCGGCGGAAAAGCTCGTCGAGCGCGAACCACAGCCGCCAAATGCGCCGCCGCCGGGGTAGCAGCATGCGCCTCCTCCCGCGGATCTCGCGACCCACGAGCTCGAAGTCGGGTCGGGGCTCCTGCTCCTCGTGGAGGACGAACCCGAGCCACAACAGCTCGGAGCGGAAGGCGTCGTAGCCGCGCCGCGCGGCCTCTGGCGATCCAGCGATGATGTTCCCCTTGTCGACGTACGGCGCGATGACCACCGAGTCGCGGCAGAAGGGCGGCGGCGGCCCCCAGTCGGCGAGCGTGGTCGCGGGCTGGCCGAGGCTGATGAGAGCCCGGCGGGCCGCTGCCTCGAGCGCGCCGCGGCAGAAGAACAGCGCCCAGCTCCAGCCCATCGGCAGCCCGCCAAAGCAGGCCCAGAGGCGGTCCTCGGGCCCGACCTCCACGTAGCACGCCTTCTCGTCGCTGTAGACGGAGGTGACCCCGGCCTCGGCGGCGGTGAAGGACTCCCCGAGCGAGAACCAGCTGGCGACGGAGTCCACCCTGAACTGGTAGAAGCCGCCCTTGAGGTCCATGCCTGCGCAGGCGACCTCCAGCGGCGCGTCGGACCCGCCCTCGAAGCCGAGCGCCTCCGCCGAGAGCTCGCTCCACTCGTCCGAGAGCACGAGGTTCCCCAACGCCCCAGGCGTCGCCAAGTGCGACTTGGGCGCCCGACGGTGGAGTTGGTTCGTCGGGCGGCAGTCCAGGACCAGCCTGATAGCGCCCTCCTTCTCCTTGACGAAGAAGGCCCCGCACTCTGCTCGGGCACGGAGCCGCCAGGCCACGAGCCCGACCTTGTCGAGGCGCCGGATGAACTCCCGTCGAGCTGCGCCTGGCCGTGCGAACTGCTTGTCCCAGTGCGCCTTGACCGGCGCGTCCACCGAGGCGAGCTCGTCGGGCGGGAGGACGATGAGGTTGTCCGGGTCCTGGAGGTACCTGCGGCACTCGTCGCCCACCACGTCCAGGGCGCCCAGCGGCACGGAGGTCCGCTCGAGCACTTTGAGCTTCGAGGGGTCGTAGTCAGCCTGGGCGGAGTCCTCGTCCAGGTCGTAGATAGACTTACACTGCACCAGCTCGGCCAGGGCGCCCTCGGGGAACTCCTCCGCGACGACGGGCGCAGGCACGAACTGCTTAGCTGCTCTGGCAACGCTGCACAACATCGCGCCCTGCACGGGCGCGATGTCAGCATCAAAAAGACGGCGGGGCTCCTCCGCGCGAAGAACCCTTTCCGGCTGGCAGCGCACCATGGCGTTGAGAGACGCCACGGCCCCTTCGACCAGCGCCTCGGTCTTGGCCCGCTGGCGCTGCTGCCGAGCAAGATGGCGAACGCCACCCCGACACTCCGCTGCCTGTCGAAGGCGAAGCGGCAGCGGAAACGGCCCGCCCCCCGCGACCATGACGACGCCGCCGGAGGAGAGCTCCAGAACGCCTCGACTGACGAGGCTAGCCTTTGTCCTTGTCCTTGTCCTTGTTGTTCTTGTCCTTGTCCTTGTTGCCCCGGCGCTTGTCCCCCTCCTCCTGGTACAGGCGCTGCTGCTTCATGGCGAAGGCCGCGGTCTTCTGCCCCTCGGCCGTCCACCGCGCGAACTCCCCCGAGAGCACTCCCCCAGACGAGTCCAGGGTCGACATGGTCATCAGCTCGGTCCCGCGGAAATCGGGGTTCTTGGGGTTTCGCTTCGTCGCCTGATGAATCCGGGGGATCAGGCGCCCGATCATCTCCGCGGACGAGAGCTGCCCCAGGTTGAGCTGGTCGAAGCTCAGCATGTGGTGGAGGATCGTCATCAGGTCTCTGTGCTTCATCGCCACCGGCGAATCGGGGTTCACCCCCGACGCGCGCACCCAGTAAGTCGTGAAACCCCGCCAGCTCCTCCTTGGCCGCCCTCGCTGCCAGCAGCACCTCGCGGATCGCGGACGGCGCCGCCGCGGGGAACGGCCAGTCGCTCGGCGCCTTCCCCGTCTCGAAGAACTTCATCTGGGCGAGCCCCTCCCGCATCGAGAGGCACCTCGCTCGGCCGACCTCGCGCTTCACCGAGAGCACCCGCGGGTCTCGCCCAGGCCCCGTCCTCTTCTCCTCCCGCCACTCGTCGAGGTCCTGGTCGCCGACCTTCTCCACGAACGTCCAGAAGATCTCGCCGTCCTCCTCCACCTCCGCGAGCCCAGCAGCCCCCTTCGCCATCAACCTCAGCGGGTTCCCGGCAATGTCCGCCGGCACCGTCTCCGCGAACTTCTCGTACGCCGTGTCGGCGAAGCGCCAGTCGGCCGCCAGGCCGGCGGCGGCCGCCGCCGCTCCCGGCTCCGCGGGCGCCGCCCCCAGCACGTTGCCCAGCGCGTCCGCCTCGAGCCTCACAGCCGCCAGCTCCTCGTCCGTCGGCATCTCTGCCGCGTACAGGTTCCCGCGCACCCGCGCAGGTGCTGGCGCCCGTCTCGGGATCGGCACCACGATGTGCTGGGTCAGGTTCACCACCACCACGTCCAGGTCGGGAGTCCAGCCCACCCAGCGTCCATCCGCCAGGCGGACTCGCAGTACCCTCATATGCCACCTGAAGTTCGGGTCCTCGTCGAAGTTGACCGCCACTTGGGGCTCGGGGATGTCGAGCGACAGCCGCGCGGCCGCCGCTGCCGCCGCCATCGTACCTCACGAGCAGCACTAGCGGCGACGCGACCTCCAGGCGGCCTCCTCCAGGCCGGGCTCCACGCCCCAGGCCGAGGAGACCGACGAGCGAGGCGAGCGCGGCGCAGACGGCGACGCGCCAGCTCCGGCGCCGCGGCCAGTGGGCGCCTCCTCCAGCGCCGCGAGGCCGGGTCGGAGCCCCAGCTGTCGGGCGCCCCTTCGGCACCCCCGCGTCCAGACGGCTCCGGCGGCGAAGCCCGCGGCCGCCGCGAGCCCGCTGCCCAGCGTGGCCGAGAGCGAGAGCCCCGGCCGCTGCTGCCCGGCCTCGCACGCCGGGCACTCCAAGCCCTTGCAGTCGCAGGTGACCGCGGGGCACACCGGCGCCGCCGCCGGCCCGGGGCAAGCCCCGCACGTGAGCCGTGGCTCGCACACGCAGGCCGGGCAGGGCGGCGCGTCTGGCCGCACGGCCCACCCGCCTATGGCAGAGGCAGCCAGCTGGTTGGCGAAGCTGGCGGCCGCAGTGACAATCTCGTGTACCATCCGCTGGGATGGAAAGACTCGAGAAAAAGGCTGCAGAGGCACTCTCGTGAGGGTGATAGGGTGCAGGCACAGTCAATAGCTTTAGCGTAGCTTTATCTTAGCTTTAACTTAGCTTTGGTTTAGCTTTAGCTTAGCTTTAGCTTAGCTTCAGCTTAGCTTTAGCTTAGCTTGAGCTTTAGCTATGACTTAGCTTTAGCTTAGCTTGAGCTTAACTTTAGCTTAGCTTTAGCTCAGCTTTAGCCCAGCGTTAGCTCAGCTTTAGCTCAGCGTCAGCTTAGCTTTAGCTTCGCTTGAGCTTAGCTTGAGCTTAGCTTGAGCTTAGCGTTAGTTTAGCTTTAGTTCAGAGTTAGCCTAGCTTTAGCTTAGCTTTAGATTAGCTTTAGCTTAGCTTTAGCTTCGCTTTAGCTTAGCTTCAGCTTAGCTTTAGCTTAGCTTTACTGTTGTTACTAATGCTGCTTTCCTAGGGGCTCCAGCTCCTAGGTAGGGTCGCACTGGGATAATGAACATAAGAATTAGTAACATACATCAGTCGTCATCTCATTTGTTCGAGGATGTCTCGAGCGAAACGCACATGTTCCGAGACGGCGAAATTTCGCTGTCATCAGCTGTTCGAGGATGTCTCGAGCGAAACGCTTGTTTTTGTGAAACGCGATGTCGCGAAGAGCTCAATTTTGTGAAGATATCTCGAGCGAAATCGCTGCTTTGGGGAATCAGCCAAAACGTCCAGCTTCCTTCTCGTACCTCGAAGACGCTTCCCGTCATCCGCCAACGATCCGACCCCGTGCGGCCCGCCACCAGATACTTAGAGATATTCTTACAGATGCGAGGCGGATTCAGCCAAAACGTCCAGCTGCCTTCTCGTACCTCGAAGACGCTTCCCGTCATCCGCCAACCACCAGATACTTAGCGGTATTCTTACAGATGCGAGGCGGATTCAGCCAAAACGTCCAGCTGCCTTCTCGTACCTCGAAGACGCGTCCCGTCATGCGTACATGCATGCATGCATACATGCATACATACATAAGACTGAAGACATCGCGCGAGCTTCGCGCGCACTGAAATTTAGGACGAAGTATCGGCGGAGCCTGCTGCAGTAGCACTCGTTGGGTTTTTTTGTAGGCGTCGTTGAAGCCTTCTCGAAGGCGCTTCGGTGCGCGGCGGCGCCGCCAGAGGGGTCCAGCGCAGATCAAAGAATTCCGCGACGAACCTCTAACAAATATGACGGGTTCTGGGAATCCTGAGCCCAAAGAAATTGTCATCTCTTGGAAGGTCGATTTGAGCTTCCGCCGGCTTCCGCCAACTTCCGCCGGCGGAGACGCCCTCGTTCTACTTCCGCCGCCTTCTGCCGACCTTCCGCCGCCTTCCGCCGAGGACTTGAGAGATGGCAACTCCTTCGACTCTCGGAGGCAAAACCCTTTTACAGCGCCTTATGTGTTCGTGCCGTCCCCATCTGATCTTATCCGGATGAGGGGGCCGAATGGACTTGCAGTCCCTGGGTGCGTTGCTGTAGTGGGGTTCCGCGGTGCGCTCCTTGACCATTCATTTCTCAAGATCAGCTATTGTTGATCCCCCATGCCTGGTGCCTATGGTGATTTTCAATTGAAGTGCTCCTCCCGGGGCTCGCCCCTGCTTTTTCAAAGAGGAAATATCGCGCCTTAGATTGTGTTGTTGGCACCTGGTTTACCACAAGAACGGCCCCCGCCTGATACACGACCACAATTTATTCTAAACCGCGCTCTCGCGCGGGACTTCCTAACAATGTATCCAGAAGCTCCGCTCTTGCGTGGGACTTTCTCAAAACATATTGGGACACAACGCCTTCGACACTCAGGAATCACGATCTCGCGCAAGAGTTCCTCACGATTTACTTGCGAATCGCGCTATCACTCGAGACGTCCTCGCGATTCATGTTGGACTGACGCTTCAACGACCTGGCCGCTTGGGCTTGCCTTTCCGACCCGCCCGTTAAGGTCCCCTCGCCCGACCCGCCCGTTTGGTTATGCCGCGTGCACTCCTGGTCTGAACCCCCACCTGCAAATCTCTCTCGGGGCTGCGCCAACTACACGTGGTAGGTAAGGAAGACATAGGCTCCTAGAGGTTACGATCGAAGACGAAGAGCGCGGGTATCTAAGGTGTGGGATATACATCTTGAGTAACACGCGAGCATGTGAGAGCGACGAATAATAAACTGATTGTTGCTGTTGTTGTACTTGTCGCCGTCGCCCGCGACCCACCTGCGCCTCGACCAACCCGCGACCCAACAGCGCTGCGACCCACCCGCGCCGCGACCAAACCACGCCCCCTGACTCTTATCCGCAACTGCGGGAGCCAAATATGTTTCTTCGTCGAGTCATCCTGCCGCTCGCACTTCTTTACAGTATGAACACTAATAGAAACACTGGTCTTAGCTGATCCGTCTTAGTAGCCTGTGTGTTATTTAGTATTGCCTTACTCTTCTTGTCGGAGCAAGGCGAGTTGAGACAACAGCAGCTCAAAATTAATTCCCAAACCCCTCCCAGGTGCAAACGCACCAAATTTCGGACCTGCGTCCAGCCGTGGCGACGAGGAAGCTCCGGAAAGCCAACTGTCGTTGCACAACCGCTCACATTCTCTCCCTCTTGCTCCCGCACGCTCCGCACATGCGTCCGAATGTCGCACGCCGATGGGGCCTAGCTCGAGCAGCGCCTATCCAGGCGTACACTTAGATAGAGCAGCGGCCTCCGCAGCGAGCGGGCTCGAAATTACCACTGCCGACCGGTCGGCAGCGATCACCGTGTGCGCACGCACTCCCTCCCTCTTGCGCTGCTCTGCGCGCCGAGGATCGGCGGCCACCCCGGGGGGGAAGCGAGGCGGGCCTTCTCAGAAGGCTCGGAAATCCCATGGCCGTCCGAGAAGTTCTGTAAGCTGTTCCCGACGACACGGAAAACTCAGAAGGCCGAAGGACGTCTGAGATGCCCCGCCGCCTTCTGAAAAGGCCTTTTCATTCGATCTTCCCCCCCCGCTCGCCGCAGACTCTTGCGCTGCTCTGCGCGCCGAGGAGGGGGGGGGGCCTTCACCTTGGCCGCCAGCGCGGCCTTCGTCCTGGCCAGCGTCGCCGCCTTCTCCCTGACGGCCATCTCGGACTGCGCGGGCGCGGGGGCACAAGAGCGCGCACGGAGGAGAGAAGGGGGAGGTGGAGGAGCAGGAGGAGGAGGAGGAGGAGGAGGAGGAGGAGGAGGAGGCGGCGCCCGTTGCCAACACAAACGGCGGCGGGGGTTGTGGGTTCCCCCTGGCCTGGGAGGCGGGAGCGGGGAGCTGTGGAATGCCCCGCCGTCCTCTGATTTCTCTCGTGCGGCCCAACGGCTCCGAGTTGGATCCAGTTCGGGTTGAGCTGGGTTGAGTTAAGAAATGGAACATGGAGGAGGGGGAGGAGAAGGAGGAGGAGGAGGAGGGGGAGGAGGAGGAGGAGCTCCATGCATCTACTCAAAGAAGGTAACACCTCCCCCGTCACGGGCCGCATACAACCACTCTCGCGAGCAAACGTCCCACGGCAGCCGCCACGACAGATACAACGACAGCCACCACGACTGCCACCAAGCACCACGACGACCACTACGGCAACCATCAAGCGCCACGACGACCACCACGACAGCTCACCACGTGCACCACGACGACTTTCACAAGCACGTGTACCACCACGGCTATCACGACACCCACGACAGCGACTCCCACGAGCAAGCACGCCACGACGGCCAACACGACAGCCACAACAAGGGATGCCGTGAGCAAGCGCACCACGACGGCCACTACAACCGCCACGACAGTCACCGCGGCATCCATGTCGAACAAACGCACCATGAAAGCCACCACGGCAGCCATAACCGCGACACTCACGATCAAGCGCACCATGACGACCACCACGACAGCTACGACAGCGACTCGCACCAGCAAGCACGCCACGCCGGCCACCACGACAGTCACGACTACGACGAAAGCGGCTCCCACGAGCACGCACACCACGACGACTTTCACGACAGCCACCACAAACACCACAGCGACACTCAAGCGCAAGCACACTATGACGGCTACCACGAAGGCCACAACAGTCACGACAGCGACTCCCACGCGAAAGCACATCACGGCAGCTACAACAGTAGCCTCGACAGCGGCTCCCACGAGCAAGCACATCACGACGACCACCAAGGCTACCACGACAAGCACGACAGCAACTCCCACGAGCAAGCACAAACCGACGGCCACTACGACAGCCAGGACCGTCACCGCGGCATCCACGGCAAGCAGGCACACCACGGCGGCCACGACAGCCACGACAGCGACCCTCACGAGCACGCACACAAGGGCGACTACAACGACAGCCACAGCAGCCACAGCAAGCAAGCCACAGCAGCCACCGCGACATCTTCATAGGCCACGACAGCCACGACAGCGACTCGCACCAGTAAGCACGCCACGGCGGCCACCACGACAGCCAAGACAGCCATGTCAGCGTCTATCTCGCGCACGCACACCACGACGACTACCACGACAGCCACCACAAGCACGACAGAGGCACTCAAGAGCAAGTGCGCCACAACGGCCGCCACGTCAACTACGTCCGCCACCGCGGCATCCACGACAAGCAAGCACACCACGGCAACCATCACGACAGCCACGACAGCTACTACAGCGACACCCATGATCACGCACACCACGATAGATACCACGACGGTCACGACAACGACGCTCACTAGAAAGCACACCAAGACGACCACTATGAATACCACGACAGCCGTCGCAGCAACTCCGACGAGCAAACGCGCAGTGACGGCCACCACGACAAACATGACAGTCACCACCGCACCCACGACGTGCAAACACACCACGGCGGCCACCACGACAACCACGATACTAACCACAGCGACTCTCACGAGCACGCGCACCACCACGACTTCCACGACATCCACGACAGCGGCTCTCACGAGCGAGCACGACACCACCGCCGCCGCGACAGCCACAACAGC